GGAGGAGGGAGGGACCCCAGAAGTTACTTCGCCACCAACCATAGACGTTTACCTGTAGGACGTACGTCATGTGAGTGTGTAACAACCACACTGTGCTCATACCAATGGAAGTGAAATTCATTTCAAGATTCCATTCAAGACGTTGCTGTATTCTTTTCTGGGCCACGTGTCGCGCTCATACTTTTTCAGTCTAATCGTTTGTATGGCGCCCTTTACCAACTAAATACCCGACAACCTGGATCAATTCTGATACCGTTACATCCGGGAAGGGTTCAAAACTCGTTCACCTTTAACCTCTTGACCCGTAAAAGCGACTAGCATCTAATTTCCCCTTACTATATCATCCCTTAATTACGCATTGATGTTACGAGGAGAAAAAAAATGAAAATCGACTAAAGAAGCTCTTGATTGGGGAAAAATTCCCCTTGTCAGCAGCTTTGGGAATGTATAGAGAACAGTAGGGTAAAAATGCATAATGATGTTTGGGTGTGAAGGATTAATGATACTCGCAGTAACAAGGATGAGTTCTGGCCATTGGCAGTTGACCAGAGAGGAAATAAGCCACGTGTTGCCGTACCCTTTTCTCCCCTCCCCCCAGGAGAAACATTTCTCCTTTAGGGGGGAGGGTACGGCTACACGTAAGCTAACTCTACTAATTCGGCCGAAGACATGCAACGTATCACAGACCTGGTTTTTTGATTACGAAGTCAGGCAGTTGTGGGGCCAATATAATTATCACCCCCTCGTTTTTCCAACACATCCACAAATTAGGCATGCACGCAAAAATCAAATGATTCTATAATTGCTTAGGGTTCTATAATTTCCACAAAAACATGGCGTTACACACACAGTTACTCTTATCAAATTGCCCTTTTGACCCCTAGAATGATTAACATCTAATTTCTCCTTACAATATCAACCTACAGGTCACGGGAATAAAGAAAGTAATCACCCACTAACAACAGACGCTCTTGATTGTTGAGCAAATTCTCCTTCTCAACACAACAGAAAATATAGAAAGGACAGTATAGAGACTATGTATACTGATGCTAGGGTACAAAGGGCACAAAAGGGTGAAAGGTTTGTTTAATCTTCTTAACACCCTCTTTCCGCCGCGTCAATAAATTAGCCATTCAGACGACAACCTGTAAGTCTACAAAACCACGTTAGGAATCGCACGAACCTGCTGTTTAAGTAACGTCGCAGTGAGTAACTCCGTTTCATAATACTCGGTAACAGGAGTGGAACTATGAAACCCTGTCAGGTAGTTCGGGTGATCTTCCAAGGAAAGCTAACAGTTGAAGTAAGTTCACGCTGGTAAAATTTTTCTTACCGATCAAACTGCAACTGCTACAAATGAGAATTTTTTTCCCAACAAATAGCCGATTGAAAACGATGAAGGTATGTGTTCACCATAGTGAAAGCGAGTGATTTCTTTTTCAAGGTAATTTGGGCCGTAACCTCCAGCATTTCAACTGACAGTTAATCCAGTGTTTGGTTTTTCCGTCAGTTTCATTTTTACTTCTGTTACGTAACAACTACACTTAACACAAATGTTCACCTTAGGGGTGAATTTATCGCATGCCAAAACCCAGAGGCCACAGAGAAGATTCGCAACGAAATTTTCTATAAGAGTCAAGTTCGATTCCTCATTGGAAGCTCATTTGCAGAACTTTAGTGCGTAAAGAGAGAGTAGATAAGAAGTAAGACCAGACATAACCAAGCGAGATTTAGATCCCAGGGGGCGGGGGGAGGGGCAGAGTCTTAATGACCCAAACGTGCCGCAAACAAGGGTAAGGCTCAAATGTGCCGCAAACAAAGGTAAGGCTTTCGGGGTCTTGATCCTAAACACACAATGCTATTCTGATATGAAGTCCCTTGACCGGGGTACCTTCCTGGATCAAAACCCTTAAACAGGGTGCAAAAATAACAGTCCGCGGTCTTAAATTACGATTTTTTTTCTCAAGTGTAATTCCAGTGGTTATCTCAAAAGGTCCAATAATCCAGACGGGGTGCCTTTCCTTGACATCCTCTGCTTCATTTTGTCTTTGGCGGGGTAAGGAGTTAAGGTCCTCAGCGACACAGGTTCGGCAAAACTTTCCTTTAGGCTCTTCCCCGAGATAGAGATATATTCGGTAAGATACGAAAATAACGATATCTCTTCCTTTCAAGAGTTATTGCATTAACTATGACTCAAGGCTTACTCCTATCGCAATAAGGGGGCGGTTTAAAGATCATCGGACAGTATAAGAGACTGCCGCACGACCTTGCTGAAAGACACCCTTTCTACTTTCCGCACGCATGGGGTAGAGAGGAACACACGTGGTACTCAAAACCTTAATTTGACCCTTAATCCGTTGAGCACCCACGTCACGGTTCTTGATTCGCGTAGTCGAAAGCTAACATAGGGTAGTTGAATGTCAAAACATCTTTGATTCATGATGTATTTTGGAAATAGTGTTAACTAGTTTCATTTTCAACTTAGTTCAAGTTAACGTTAATATTTCGGATCGTGGTCAGGGTGAGCGTTCATTTCGGCGATTTTTTAAAGTACGCAGTAACTTCCAGTGATCATTGCAAGCGATACTCACTAAACGGTTTCAAGTAGGCTTTTATTTTGACGAAAATGTCCAAGTTCGTAGTTATTTGCAGTTGTCAGTGCAGGTCGTACACACAACAGGCTATACACGTTGGAAGGCTCTAGTTCATTCTTCTTCGTTCTCCCTCTCGATCAGTGGAGGGAGAGAAGAGAACGCGTCGAGAAAGTTCGCGGGCAATATTTAACTTTCATATCCCGAAGATTAGTTTAAGGGCAATCAGGCGCAACTAAACCACTCTCTCCCGCTCATTTCCATATTAATACAATATCACACCAGCCGTGTGGTATCCTGACTTAGCATTAAATAATTTGTGTCCGCACGCTAGCTCTCCAACCCTAACAAATAAATTTTCCCGTTATGCAACAGCCGGTTGACGCAAGAATTTATTTATAAGAGGTGGATTCACAAAAGGATATTTTCTAAGAAAATCCTAGTTTCTTTCCTCAACAATTGCACTTGTGAAGGAAAATTCATCCCTATCAAGAAGTTTCCTTCAGTCATCCATACTTTCCTTTCAAAAGACTCCAATACTCTACTTCTTCACAGGTTAGCAAGTCAGTTTTTTAATAACTTGTCGACATGAAGGACACCTTTCATGAAAAAACTTATTAATTTTTTTCATCTCCATTTTCAAGGAAAACCTTTCAGAGAAATTTGTCAAGGCCAACTTTCTCTGTTGCAACTTTAGAGTCACTGACTCTGTCCCGGCCAACAAAATACGCGCGTCACAAAGAGATCCTGGTAGCAAGTCAGAGGGGAAGTCAGTTGTAAATATTTAACCCTTTAACTCCCAAGATCTGATTGTTAATTCTCCCCTCTAGCTGCTACACATTTCCTTGTAAATTAGTTATGAGAACTTGGTGCTGGATCAAGATAGCGGCTTTTGCCTGATAAGTTTGATTATTCTCATTACCCGTTTGCGGAATGATTTATGGATATTATAGGGAGATGTTACATGTTAATCACTACTGGGAATCAAAGGGTTAAGCGCAGTTTTCTCCCTCTTTTCCTTTTTAACACCCCGTTATCTCATAATCATGAGTCCAGGCATCAGTGATGATATCAATGCTTCAATCAAGTCACTAGAATCGTCTTAGATCTGAAGACCACAGAGCACAACAGAGTTTCTCATCATCAAATTAATTAATATCACTTTGTGCGCAATATCCATGTTTCATTTGAACAGTTATGATTGGTTGTTTTGAGGCATTTATGAAATTTTTAACGACCTTCACTTATCACAAAATATTTTTAACTGCGGTAAACAACTCAACGTTCAGTCATTGTTGGAAAACTAAAAAGGTCCACTCAAAAAAACTGATTCATTCTGCCTCTCCAAGTGGTAGATTTCGGACAGATCCTAGCTTCGCCAGAACAGGTCAAGGTCCGAGACAATCGCCTAGTGTGTTATCTCGCGTTTTGCCGACGTCACGTTGATAAGGTGACCTCTTATCTACGTTACGCTTCGTAGAAAACTACAATATAAAGTCATTAGCTTTTGAAGGTCCAGAATAGAGAGGTGGTTTAAAAAATCAAGCTGACAACCTCAAATTAATAGATGACATCTAAGCTATATTTTGGTCAAAAACATAACAATATGTACAAATACTGAAACAAAAACAAAAAAATCAAATTTTCGACGATACTGTGTTGCCCTAGCACTGTTTGAAGCCGGTAGTTCAGTTGGCTTGCCAGCGAACGAGAACGTGGTGAGTACCAACTCTTCACATCTTGATAACAATGATCTAAGTGTTACATAACTGAGTCAGATTGCATTCCATCACGTTTGTTTGTGAAAAGTCCTCTATTTTTTTGGCCGGTGATCTATTAGAATTGAAGATCTACGGCGGACTATCACGCACTATATGGCTAAGTATGGGTGGTAATTCCGATAGTTTTCCGTCTTAAAATTTGTCGCATCTCGCAAAAGCATTTTTGGTCGGTATTAAGATGTCAGGCGGTATTCGCAGATAATTAAATATTTTATTTGAGGAGGTTATTATAAAGACAAACCGTGTTCCAATTTCTAGCCGAATGTCGTAAATACCATTGCTTTAACCGGCACAGTTTTCCACGCTTCCATTTCTTTGGAAATGCTCTGTTATGTTTGGCACCTGCGCATAAAGGACAACTATGTTTAAGCTCAGCCTAGGTTTCACTTAAATACTCTTTTTAAAGTAGATTTATTGCTCAACTAAAGGAATTGTTTGCCAGTAACATGAAAGAAAATAGATTAAACAAAACACAGAAGAACGGGATTAGTAATGCAGAACGTCGCTCATCGTCATAAGTAATGCGGGCGCTCGGGTTTGAATATTGCACTTAAGATTCATA